ATTCTTACCCCCCTTGAACACTTTTCCACTATGTATTTATGTGCTGCATATGGGCTACTTGAGGTCCTGGAGAAAGCTATTGTTTCCAGTGTTTTAGACTTTATTTCATCAACATTTACCTGTTTTACCTGTTTTGTTTGTGAAAAGAATGCTGGTCTAGGAGTCAGAAAATGTGGATTCTCATTTTATATCTTTGTGATCCCTACACGGAATCATATAAAATGACTACTGGCCTGAAACTCAGTTTCCTTATCCATAAAATAGTAATGATGACATCTACCCTGACTACCATACAGGGTTATTGTGAAGATAAATACATATAAAGTACGGCCATACACTGCATAACAACATTTAGGTCAATGACAGAATATATATACTATGGTGGTCCCATAGGATTTTAATGTGTCTATCACCTAGTGATGTCACTGTAGCCATCTTAACATCTTACTGCAATGCATTACTCACGAGTTTGTGGTGATGCTGGTATAAACAAAATGGCTGCACTGTCAGTCATATAAAAGTATAGTGCATACATTTGTGTAGAGTACACAATACTTGATAATAAACTATGTTAATAGTTTATGTATTTACTATTATATACTTTTTATTGTTATTTTAGAGTATACTCCTTTCGCTTATAAAAAACGTTAACTATAAAACAGCCTCAGGCAGGTTTCTTAGGGAGGTATTCCAGAAGAAGGCATTGTTAGAGATGACCACTCCTGCATGTTATTGTCCCTGAAGACCTTCCAGTGGGACAAGATGTGGAGGTGGGAGACAGAGATACTGATGATCCTGACCCGGTGTGGGTCTAGGCTAATGTGTGTGTGTTATGTCCTCATTTTTAACAAAAATGTTTAAAAAGTTAAAAAAGAAATAAAAATGTTTTAATGTAGAAGAAAGCTTATAGAATAAGGATACAAATAAATAGAATATTTTTGTACTGCTGTGCATTGTGTTTGTGTTTTAAGCTGAGTGCTATTACATGAGAGTCAAAAAGCTAAAAATAAATGTTAAAGGTTTATAAAGTAAAAATTACAGTACGCTAAGTTTAATTTATTACTGAGAAAAGAAATTTCTTGATAAATTTCATGTGGCTTGAGTGTGCAGTGTTTGTAAAGCTTACAGGAGTGTACAGGAATGTCCGAAGCCTTCACACTCACTCACTATGCACACACTGACTCACCCAGAGTAACTTCCAGTCCTGCAAGCTCCATTCATGGTAAGTGGCCTAGACAAGTGTGCCATTTAAAAAAATCTTTTATGCCATAGTTTTACCGTATTTTTTCTATGTTTAGATACACAAATACCATTGTGTTGCAATTGCCTACAGTATTCAGTACAATAACATGCTGTACAGGTTGTAGCCTAGGAGCAATATACTATATCAAATAGCCTGGGTGTATAGTAGGCTATACCACCTAGATTTGTCTACATTCTATGATATTTGCATGACAACAAAATTGCCTATCAACACATTTCTCAGAATGGATCCCAACTGTAATGTACACAAATGACTGCACATATGGTTGGTCTTATGTCTTCAGCAATCTATGCATGCCACTGGCTTGTTGATCTAATGAAAAAATTGTACCACAGGGTAACAGTGAAGTACTGATTGTTGATAACACTTATTTTAGAGGGGGTTTCTGAAAATATCAAAACCCAATTCAAAGGAGAGACACTGGCTGGGCATGATAGCTTACACCTGTAATACCAGCACTCTGGGAGGCTGAAGCAAGAGAATCCCTTGAGTCCAGGAGTTCGAGGCTGCAGTGAGCTATGCTCCTGCCACTGCATTCTAGATTGGGGGGACAGAGCAGGACCTCAAAAAGAAATTGTAAACAAAAGAAAGACACTAAAGGTATCTATATCTATTTATACATTCAGAAAAAGTATTTGGGGACAGAAATTTCCAATTTTTCAACCTTAATAATTATAATTAAATTCAACAACTATTTATTGAATGTCTGTTATGTGCAAAAGAGCATTCTGGGTACTATGGGAAGTATAAAGATGAGTAAGACACAGTCTTTTCTGTCTTTCAGGAATGAAGGTCTTTTCTAGTAGGAGACCAGTATGTACACAAATAACTCTAACACAAGATAGGTTTGGTAAGTTCTCTGGAAGACTAAACCTCAGAAGATACGAGACTGCTTCTGGTTGTACCTGGAAGGTTTTTTAAAGGATATGCATACAACTGGGCCTTAAAATTGCAGAAATTTAGTAAACTGGGATGAAGAGGAGGATTTAAAAACATGAGAATAACAGCATGAGCCCAGACACAAAAGGTGCAGAGTATATTCTGGGAATGGCAAGTATAATTTATCTTAATTTATTGAATTTGTAGAGTGTTACATAGTTTTCAAAGTGCTTTCACACCTGTGAATGCTCACACTTATTTGGGAGTTAGTGCGATCAATCATATGAAGGTATGTAGGAAAGGTATTCTTTATTGTACACGTGAAGAAAGTGAGTTTTGGAGAAAATGAATGGCTTGTATAAAGTTATCAATTAGAAAATTGTTCTTAAGAAGAAATTGTGAAGTTTACTCTGGTAGCTGTGAAGGAAGGAGATAGCATAGGGGTGATGTCAGTTAGCAGGTAATTGACATAGTCTAGGAGTCTTCACCAGGGCAGGTTTTCTTGCAGTGGGGAGGGACGGTATGGACGCTGCAATGTATGTGAATTTGCTCCTGATTGGATGAAAGAAGTGAGAACACAGAGATAAACTAAAAGACTCAGAGACTCATCATACATGAACAAATTCTGGGCTGGGCATGATGGCTCATGCCTGTAATCCCAGCAATTTGGGAGGTTGAGGCAGGAGAATAACTTGAAGCTAGGAGTTCAAAATCAGACTGGGCAGCATAGTGAGACCCACATCTCTACAAATAAAATAAAATAAAATAAAAATTTGACTTGGGATTTCAGTCATACCAGTGATATCTCTTAATGTCTCTTACTAATTAAAGGTCATATTTGCTTCAAATGTGTACCAGTACATAACGCCTGAAACAGAAACTACATGAATCAGATGAAGATTTTGATAGTTTTAGACTATGTTCTCAAACTCTTTGATAGCCCTCTTTTCAAAAAGTAAAGTTTAGTTCCCCTTTCCTTGTGTATGAATTGCACTTAATGACTAGCTTCTAATGAATGAAATAAGAAATAAATTATTGTAATAGACTAGGCAATAAAGGGCGACTAAGTAATAAAGAACATTGCAGCTTTCTCCTTGTCATCTCGCCTGGATCACACAGTCTAGGGGATGTCAGCTGCCATGTCATGAGGATAGCCAAGCAGCCCTATGGAGAGACCCAAAGATGAGAAACTGAGGCCTCAATGCCATCAGTCATACAAGTTATTCATCTCAGAAGCAGGTCACTCCTAGAGACAATTAGTTACTTTTGGTGACTTTAGTGCTAGTCAATATTTTGGCTGTAAACTCTTGAGAAATGCTGCACCCAAATCACACAGCTAGATAGACCATTGCCAAATTCCTGCCCAAAGAAACTTTGAAATAACATATGGGATGATTTGTGAGCTAGCAATGAATAACTAATACAAAGGTAAAAGTGAAGAAGGCATATCGAATTTTTCTCCACCAAAGAACAGAGTTTATGACTGAATTTGAATTAGAGGGAATAGGATTCTTTCTTGATTATTTAATAATATTACCTAGAAAAGTAACTATAAATTGAACAATGGAGTAAAGTACAAATAGTCCTGAACCTGATTCAGCCAATTTTTGATCGCTAATCTCTTCCCACAAGAAATATGTAATATTTTTCACATTTTCAAATTCAAGTCTTTAGTATATTCAAATTCAAGTATACAGATACCTCTTGACTTAATATAAGGTTATAAATCCATCATAAGTTGAAAATATCATAAAAGTGCCTTGAATACACCTACCCTACAATCCTGCAAAATCATTGAACACAAAGCCTATTTTATCAAAAATTGTTGAATAGCCCATGCAATATCGAACACAGCACCGAAACTGGAAAATAGGATGGTTTTATGGGTGCCTAAAGTACGATATCATTTTCGCCCCATTGCAAATTTGAAAAATCTTAAATTGAGCCAACATAACTCGGGCACCATCTGTATACGTTTTTCTGATTTAACTGCAGCACAACGATATGCTTATGAACTTATTTATAAATTGATATTGTTTTAATGTGCTATCATTCCAAGTTCAATGAATAGATTCTTCATTATGTACAAAACTGTGTGGAGTCGTTAGTTTTATATATTTATATGTACGTGTGTATGTATCTTTGCTTAGGTTTGTGGGTTAATTTGAAAAGCTATGCATTACCTTCAAACTTACATAGAGTCCTACCTTTAACAAAGCAATTTCAAACAGCATCCTTCTTGGGGCATCCCATAACAGAATAGATGCATGGATTTGGGTAGGATTTATCTAACCATCTAAAAAAGGAAGAGTTAAATAAATGAGAAAAAAAATAAATTAAAAAGAAGACTTTTTAAATATAAAAACTAACATATACTTGGCTTGTGAAGTCACTTTCCCTAAAACATGCTAAACTTAAGGATTAAAAATAAACTAAAGCCATTTGTTCTACAAACCCTTCTCTTTGTCCCTCTGTTCCCACCCACGTGCCAATACAGCATACCAAAACCAGACCAGCCAGACCACTGTGATAATCTCGGATCTTAGGTCACATTAAGAGGAGAAGGTCATCAAATGTGTGTGTTTTGAGTAGCTCAAAGACAAGGGCAAAACTTTAATCCAAAGAAAAATCTGGAGCGTCTCAAGTCCCAAATTATTCTGCTCTTACAGCTTAGCCTAGTTCCACCGGACCCGGGGTGAGGGGGGGGCGAACCACAGCACAGGCGTGAGAGGGGCGTGGCTCCCAACTGCAACGGGGCGGGGCCGGGGCGGGGCCGGGGTGCAGCCGGGGCGGGGCCGGGGCGGGGCCGGGGCGGGGCCGGGGCGGGGCCCGACGCGCCCGGGCAAGGCTGGACGCGCGCGAGATTTGAACTTCCTCTCCGCGGAGTCAGTAACCGCGCGGAAGTCAAGTTGCGCCGCCGTGTCGCTCTCGGGCCCTGCAGCTAGTGGACCGCAGTACAGGCAGAGGCGATGGTGGAAGGACCAGGTTGTACTCTGAATGGAGAGAAAATTCGGGCACGGGTGCTCCCGGGCCAGGCAGTGACCGGCGTGCGGGGCAGCGCCCTGCCACACGCAGCCCGCGGGGCTGCTGCCTCTTCCCAGGTGAGCTCCTCCTGTGCCCGGCCGGGGGCCAGCAGTGGGCCATGGAATAGACTCCATCAGGTCTCCGTGGTCCCAAGTGTCATCTCTTTGCTCTGGCCCAGATTTCCTGGAGCTCCGCGTTTCCCAGCGTCTCCTAGCGCGCCTGCGTGGGAGAGGAGGGCTGGAGCGCCGGGCGGACACCGCCTGGGCGAGATGCCCGGGAGAGAGCCCAGTGAAGGAGCTTTATTCCATGTCTCTTGCTTAACTTCTTCATACCTCAGACGGTTTCTTACCTCTGCAGCTCCATTTCCCACTGTTGATATGTTCAGCATCCCTGCCACCTCTGGTATTTTTTTCTTCCCATTTTAAAACTTTTAGCATAAAATCCTCGCTGCTTGCTTGCCTAATATTCTGCAACTGCTAAATATATCATTAATATATGCTTCTGAAAGTGCCCATAGAAACTTTAGCATTACCTTCCTACTCAACTTAATATATCTAATTAAGGGGCAGCAAACGCGGTTGTTCTGTTTCCCCTAAGTGAATTTATTTCTTTTTAAAGTAAATTGGAGCACGACTTCTTGCCATTCAGGCACTCACTGCAGATGGTGTGGTATTCATTTGATAAGAACTTGCTCTAAAAATATTCTGATTAAGGCACCCTGCTTTAAAAGCCCTTTAGATGTGTGGATGATTGTATTTCATGGATACATGCAATATTGGGTTGTATTTCAGTTTCTCCTGCAAAGCTTCCTCACAGCCTTTGGTCTTGGAAGAAAAAGTTGCCTGCTATGAAGTTAGCATATGCTTACAACTTGAAAGGAGGTTCTGAGTCTTAAGAAAATTTTCAAACTTGGAAAAAAAATAAGTTTTGCATCTCCTTCCAGTTGCCCTCTTATGTTATTTAGTTTCACTTGAAATGCCAGTAAGTATTCCGCACCTATTTTTTTAAAAATGATAGCACTTCTCAAAATTGTTTCAGGGTACCACAAAGATGGATTTTAGATGGTTTCTTAAGAATATTAATGTTTATGAAAATCATTCAACAACATTTGGAATACTTAAGGCCCCTGGGGAGCAAAAACAACCACTTTTGGAAAGATACACAGACATTCATTAAATAATAGTATAAGGAAAGACAAACATACATTCTCTGAAGGAAAGGTGCATCGTTCTTTACGTAGGACGGTCAGGGAGGTCTTCCTTGCAGAAGCAACAAAAGCTGAGGTGTGAAGGGTGTGTTGGAGATTGCAGCACAGGGGCTGAAAGCTGGCAGGGAGAACACTTCAGGTAAAACTGTAGCTTAGGAGGAGAGCTGCCTGCATGGAAAAGGTGAAAGAAAACCCATGTGGCTGGAAAAGGGAGAATGAAGTAGAAGGAAGATAGTTTGAAGTAAGACTGGATTGGGGGATAGAGGTGGATCCTGGATAAACTTGTGTCCAGATTAGGGGCTTTGTATTTGTCCTAGAGTCTGAAATGTGGTAAGACTCATTTACACTTTGCAGAGATTTCTCTGCTTTGAAAAGGCAAAAGATCAGACTGAAGGAAAGCTAGAGTAGATAGACACTGTTCCCTCAGGAGAGTGCTTCAAGTGCTGGTGTAGATGAAGGTGAGGGAAGAGAATCACTGTTTAGAAGTAAAGCACCCGCGGGTTCGAGACCCGCCTGGGCAGCGAGACCTCATCTCTGCGATAAATCAGAAAATCAGCCGGGCGTGGTAGCGCGTGCCTGTAATTCCGGCTACTCGGAAGGCTGAGGCGGAAGGGTCGCCGGAGCCCAGCGACAGAGTGAGACTCCCACTCAAAAAAAAAAAAAAAGAAAAAGAAAAAAAAGAAGTAAAGCAGATTGGGCTTAGCCATGGATAAGATATAGTATACTTATGGATCTCATAAATTTACATCATTCAACAATAATGTATTTTGTGATAGGTTTTATGCTAGCTCCTGGGGACACAAAGATAAATAAGGTTTCTTCTGTAAGAATCCAATCTAATGTTTTAGCTAAGTATTATCTCATTGGTTTTTAGGCAAAAGAGCCAACACATTTCAAGTTTGTTGTGGTTCTCTTTGGTGGCAGGAAGTGCTTATACATTTCATTCCGTCATGAAAAAGAATAACCCTGTGATAAAGGATTAACCTGATTCTACTGATGAGGAGTGTGAGGCTCAGATTGAGTTTCAGTTGCCCAAGATCACATAATTAGTAAGGGTTTGCTCAAACAGGATTTGATCTTTCAGACTCCAAAGCCTATCCTCTTAATCATACGATAGCTTCTCTCAGTAATAAAATACTTAACAGGAAAATGGCTATTACAGTGGCAACACCATAGTGCTCAGTGTGTAGTGGTGGTTAGATATTAACTAGAGAAGTACCACCTTGGATTTTTAGCTGTGCTTACCATTTTTAGTGTTGTTCAGTTTAGTCAGTTCTCTTATCTACTCTGATCATTCCATTCCCATGTTCAGATTATACAAGAGAGTGCAACCTGATAATATAATATAAATGCTTCACTAACGGGCAGTTATTACCATCACTTGGCAGCAGTGTCCAATATGCTGTACCCCACAGATGGAAAACCTTGCATTTAAAGGTGTCGTGTTTGATACCCTGATAGAAAGAGATGTTGCACATTGGAGTAGGTCTTTGTGCTTAGGATCAGGAATTGGGTTCTATGGACACTGAACTTTAAGATCAAAATGGAATGAATAAGCTCTTTGGGGGGCTGTTGGTAAATTTCTAAGTAATTTGCTTAATTTTCTGGGCCTTTGATCTAAAAAACCATAATAATAAACTTTTGTAAATATGAAGAGTCTTTTGCATTTTAAAGCAATGTTGCATCCATAGTAAATTTTATTAATATATGGTAGGTTGTCACAAACCTCTGGCAAGATCATTACAGTAACAGATCATCCCATGTTTCCTAGGCATTTATGCTAGAGAGTTAAAGCTATTTAAATGTTTCTGCTACTGGCTTGAAATGATTAGTTTTCACAAGGCAGCATTTAAAAATAATTTAGCAACTGCATACTGTATTCTTTAGTGGAGTAAGCATGACAAAAATTACAAGTGAGAGCTAAAGAAATATTAATTGGATATTTAAAGTAAAAGATTTAAGTTTGAGATAGTCACTGTACCAAAAAAAACCTCCAAAAACCCTACTTCAATAGCTATTGCCATAACGAACTGTTACTCTGTTTATCGTATAGCATTTCTCTTATTTCCAGTGTGAAGTTTATAGAGAATACACTTTAATGCTTGTCTCCCTGTGACAACTGGTCCTCATTTTTGGAAAGATTAGCCATAGGACTCAGCATCTGCTAGTCATGTATGTACTATATTATTTCACTGAATTTTGATCCATTGTCTTGTCAGCATAAAATTATGCAACTGTGTAAGCAAATTGCATAAAACTCTGCTGGAGATTGTGGAAGCTCATGGTAAGAAACAATACTGGAATATAAATGAACATATCTGGTTAATGAGCTTTGAAGAGTCAATCCTATTTTAATTGTTAGGGTTAGATACAATATTTTTGTGAAATCATGTGTAATCTGCATGTGTTTTCAATTTTCTTTCACAAAACAGGATATGAAACAGTTTATTTATAAGCACTCACTTTATTGGAAACATGGTCTTCTGGTTATTCCCATCACTCTTTATACTTGATACATGAATTTAATATGCTAGCTACTCTTACTCATCTTTATATGTGCTTCACAATGAACATGAACAGAGTAGGCATTTAATAAAAGCTGAATGGATGGACAAGAGCAAAGTTTTGAATGTGCAAAATGATTAAGGATTTGGAAATAAGTTCCATTTGAAGTCTTTCATTTTAAGTATGTGTATATTTTGTTGTGACTGTTATGTGGAAATTCCTACTACGTGAAAATCAGGAAACCTCGTAGTAAGTTTTCCTCCTATCTGCACTTTCAAAATTGGGGGGAAAAAAACAACATAGCTTCTTCTGTTGCCATTATTAAAGGAATGAGTTAATCTGCAGGTATTTATTTTGCAGCTAAATGAAGCTCATTCCTTTAATTATACAAAGGGGTTTTCTAAAATATTTTATAGAACATACATTATATACTTCCATACCTCCTTCTTAAAGGAATACTGATAATGATTTTTCCTTAATGACTCAGGGTCATTACGATCAGCATCCAGCATTATATGGATTCATGAAACAAGGGATAAGAGAGAGCAGGTAGCATTCTCACAATGAAGAAACTAAGAGAGGTGATCTTCCATGACTATTGTAGCTTTTTATCTAAGATTAAAGTACTCAATATGCTGTAGAGAAGAGAACATCTTATCATCTTGATTTCAAATGCCCATTCCTTTGTTAGTTACTTCCTCATCTGGAGATACTTACTCTCACATCCTAGTTAATTTGATCAGAATTAAATTAAGAGACATATAAAACTCTTAGCTTAGTGCTTAGCAAAATAAACATCCTAGTAACCATTCCCTTTTCCCTGGATCAGAGCTTTCTCACCAGACTTCATTTATCTGAGGAATGCTCTATTTTTATGGGTGGTTTGTAATTATTTGTTGCCCACAAATAAAGTATGGTGCAAAGTATTTAGTCTCTGGGTAAGTGCTTAAAGGTTTTGCTTTTACAAATTGTAGAATATATTTTGATGTATGGAGCTAAGGACCTCTACGAGGGGGGATCCTCCAAAAAAACTGAAATTTGTGTCTAAAAAGTTGTAAATTTATTCTTACATGTGTAAACGTTAGTCGCCTTCAAAGTACTCTCCATTTGATACAATACATACATAGGGATGCTTTTTCCACTACTCAAAGCAGGGTTTGAATTAGTTTGTTTTGATGTCTTTTAGTGCTTTTACTATTTTTTGTTTCACCTCTTCCACATCAACAAAACATTTCCTTTGAGGACTTTTTTCATCCAAGGAAACCAAAAAATTTACTCAGGGCGAGATTGGGTGAACAGGGAATGGGGCATGGGGATCATATCGTTTTTGGTCAAATGCAGCGTGGTGTGGGTAGATGCACTCATAAATCACACATGATGAAAGTGGCAAAC